ACACACACACACACACACACACAGACACACACACACACACACATTCAGAATTATTTTACTCTGTTCATCTGATTGCCTTAGGATTCGAACTCAGGTCTGTATTTGAACAGCTCGTGTGTGTACCAACTGATTGAGGTTCGTTTTTCTTTTCCCACTTCATACATATTACACAGGCCACATACCCTTTTCTTTCTCGCAGGCCTTTTATGAATCAGCCCACATTTGAGATTTCAAATTGATTTAATGAATTTTATTTTTATTTTTATTTTTTATTTTTTTTAGCTTCTTCCAGGTGGTGTTCAGAAACTTTATCATGTCAGGCCCATGAAACGGTACAATGTCTCCACAACAACCTGGGCTCTTAAGAAAAAAAGAAAAAAAAAGGAGAAACATGGCAAGCGAGAAGAAAATAGGGTAGGGGGGGGAAAAGAAACATCTGTCCCAGTGGCCCGCATATGAAGAGAAGACAGCAGTATTTTTTTCTCAAAAAAAAAAAAGAAAAAAAGTGTCTGGTGTCGAGTTGTGCCTCTCATCATCTTCAAGCTAACGTCCGACAAATGTTGTCGTCTACGAAATTTGTTCAGCTTAGCGGAAGTCTGGGGCAGTCGAAGGAGAGGTTGATGGAGCGGCAAGAGAAACTGGAGGTATCGTCTCTTTCCTGATCTCTTTTATTTCGCCCATTGTTCTTGTCATGGAAGTAAAAGTGAGGGGGAGTGGGTGTACTGCCTCCCTGCACTGTATGTGGAAGCCTCTAAATACCATAGGTTCATACACCCACAACTGATAGCCTCCTGAGGTGGTGGGGACCACCAACCACTGCCCTGTTGAGTACGTGTGCCGGAAATAAGAGCAGACAATTACCCCAACACCGGATGGAAGACTCTGAAGACTCTGTAAGTTTACACCCATACAACTGGTAGCCTCCTGAGGTGGTGGGGACCACCAACCACTGCCCTGTGGAGTACGTGTGCCGGAAATCAGAGCAGACCATTACCCCAACACCAGACGGGAGACTCTAAAGACTCTGTAAGTTCACACCCCAACAACTGATCGCCTCCTGAGGTGGTGAGGACCACCAACCACTGCCGTCTGGAGTACGTTTGACGAAAATCAGAGCAGACCATTACCCCAACACCAGACGGGAGACTCTAAAGACTCTGTAAGTTCACACCCCAACAACTGATAGCCTCCTGAGGTGCTGGGGACCACCAATCACTGCCGTCTAGAGTACGTTTGACGAAAATTGGAGCAGAGTACTACCCCTACTCACACCACACGGAAAAGTCTAAAGATTGTACTACACTGTAGGTTCACACCTCCACAACTGATAGCCTCCTGAGGTGGTGGGGACCACCGAACCACTGCCCTCCAGAGTACCTGTGCCGAAAGTCAGAGCAGACCAGTACCCACACCCACCCCAGATGGTTGACTTTCGACTGTAGGGAGATTCCTGAGGTGGTGGGGACCACCAAACCACTGCCCTGTCGCAAGCTTGCTAAGCTCGCATGACTCAAGGTCTGCCGCAACCATAAAATACACTCCACACCCTCCGTTGCCCATATAGGCACACACATCGCATGTGGTGGTCGTTTCCCATACGCATGGCACTGTTGAAATGCCTCCTGAGGTGGTGGGGACCACCAAGCACTGCCCTCTCGATGAACTGATTGATCATGCTTGTCGAGTTTATCATGCTCTCAAAACTCCCGTCCTGCCTTCTGAGGTGCCAGGGACCACCAACCACTGCCCTCTCGATGAGTTATTGTGCGTGCGTGCGTGTGTGTGTGTGTGTGTGTGTGTGTGTGTGTGTGTGTCGAGCATATTCCCTGTCACAAGCTTGCTAGGATTGCATGGCTCAAGGTCTGCTGCAGCCATAAAATACACTCCACACCCCCCGTTGGCCATTCAGGCACAAACATTGTATGTGGTGGTCATTTCCCATATGCATGGCACTGTTGGAATGCCTCCTGAGGTGGTGGGGACCACCAAGCACTGCCATTATTATCGTCGAACATATTCCATGGCTTACCCTCCATGCACCCCATGCCACTCATGGGGTACACCCGGCCCGGCCTGGCCCGGCCCGGACCGGGCGGCCGTAACCAAACTGATGCTGTACGCTGCCATTA